CAGATATTGATCAGTATCACAGTCAGCTCCTGTGAAACATGGGATGTCTGCACAGCAAAATATAATTAGTCTGAATGTGTCTCAATAAGGAGATGTCCAAGTATATTTATGAATATTGAGATGTGGGAATATTGAACTTTGACAGATTTTTTTAATGTTGTAAAGTTTGCTACTCGCATTATCATTACTGATTTTGTATACTCTTATTCCCAGTTACTGACTTGAAAGTATCTTCAGTGCTTGCTTTGTCTCTTCTAACACAATTTTTATGTATTGCATAAGGAATTGATTCAGTACACATCCTAGTTTCTCATAGAAACTAATGTTTTTGTGTAAGTTTTATCTGCTGTTGGTGTGTGAAAGTGTAGAACAGTAATATCACAGCAGTGTCTCTCTTGTGTTACATCCTTTAACCAACCAACCCTCATAATTTGCTGATAGAATTCCCTTGGGTACAAGAAAAAAGTCTGTTAACACCACATCTACACGGCGCCACATCCCAGAAGACTGCTTTCTTCATAGTCACTGCCATGAAAACCTCAAATCTTAAAAAAAAAATCCTGTTCATAATTCATGATTCTAGTTCCCATTTTTATGAACATTTGTGTAGCTTCTGGTTCAGTGAATATTTTTCGTTGAACCTGCCCTATCGAGTCTTCCTACATTCCGCATTCCAAATTCCATGTCCATTTTCGTTTGCTTAGGTTGTTCTGGCTGCCTCTGTGGTCTAGCGGTTGGAGTTCCTGGTTCTATTCCTGGCACTACCAGATTTTCTGAGAAGTAGTGGGTTAGGAACTCACTCATCCTCATGAGGATAATTGAGGAACTGTTTCAAGGAAATAGCGGCTCCAGCCTAGAAAACTAAAATTAACGGCCGTGGGGATTCGTTGCACTGACCATGCGACACTCTGTATCCACTAAAGTTGGGACTAACTTTGCCGACATGAGGCGGTTGCTTGGTCGGTATAGTTCGCTTGCATACTACAGGCCATGGAGTTGGGTTGCTCCAAAGATCTGCCCAAGTCCAGGGTCCTGTTGTAACATTTCATAACATTTTTTATGGTCAGGATTTAGACCCTGGATGGACAGTTGTTATCTGATTTGACTGAAATACTGTAATCATATTTTGGCTGGTCCATTTAATAACATTGAAGTTAAGTTTTTGAAGAGTCCTAACATATTTCTGATGGTGCAACGTGAAACGTTTTATCACAATCATGAAAGAGGCTATGCCAGAGGGCCAAGAGGTAAAGAATCCTACCTCTGCTGGATTGCAACCAGCCTGTGTGTTGTAAAAGAAATACTTGACCAAGTGGAGTACAAAATCATGAATTCAGCTACAATATATGGTGTAAGGGTCTGTGATTATTCAAGCATAAGTAGGATAGTTTACAAAATGAGAATTTGGGTCACATATATGACCTTGAGGGTTACAACCAACTTATTAATTAAATCTCAGACTCACTCCACTGTCATGGTGTTTATGTTCATGCAGAGTTCAATAATAAACCAGCTAAACAAGTTCTGTGAATGTAAATACCAGCAGTAATGGCTTAATGATTTTGCTTTGAAGGTGGTAAGATTTTAGAGAGAACATTTTAAGAAAACAACTTGAGGTATATTTAGGTTATAAGAGACATGCAAATTGTAGGTGTTTCGAACAAGAAACTTATATGCTGGAATATAATAGACCAGGAAGAATTAACAGGGTTTTCAGTCTTTGCCCATCATCCAAAAGCCCAGTAATTATTAGTGGTAAACACCACTGTCAGAACTCTTAGGATCTGTGAGCTAGGAAGTTGTACACAGTAAGTGGACACTTAGTAAATAAAATGTCCCGATTAACCTTGCTAGTAAGGACACTCATCTACAAAATAGTTTGTTGCATAAAGACTAATTTACGATGGAAGTTTATTTTATTGAAATGATTCTCAGTTTCGTGTTTACATTCATTTTATGAAATATTTTTAAATGATGCCGTCTATCACAAAATATATATGACTGGTTCTATTCATGTCACTAATTACTTTCAGTCTTCTTGTATTATTTTATGAAGAAAATAGTGTATGGTATGCCCTTTTGACAGGCCCCCGATGCCTGAACTATGTGACATTTTTTCCTAATACTGTATTTCATACAAACAACATGCCACCAGTTGTCACTCTGCCTTTGTGCTGCTTACTTTATTGTTAGTACTGTAACCGTATGACCCTCGCCAAAATTATTTAATTAAGGGCATGACGAATTTATGCGTCGTTTCACACCCTGAGAGACGCTCATCCGGCGAGGTACCATCCCGGGACCGTCTAGTTTTAATTCAACTATTGTCTTCCTTAGGCTTAGGGTCTCACTGTTGTCCCTAAAGTCGCCAGTTTGCTTCTAGTGTCATAAACCCATGAACTGACATTTTGCGAGACGGCCAGGAGGGGTCATGGGTTCCCTGCTCGTGTGTCTTGAAGACCTAAAAAAGTTTATGGGCGTCTCGAAAAATACGAATGTAGGACAGATGCCAGGCTGGACCCCTGGCTTTCTCTTTTTATTTTCTTGTTTTTATACCCACAGGGGGACTTTTAAAGAGAGGGCAGTTGTTTACAGGGAGCGGAGATGGACAGTTGAAAAAGGGAGTTAAAGGAGGGTAACTAACGAGTGGCGTGTATGGTCAGTGAGCTGGGTGCAAATTGTTGTACAAAGGTTAAATGGAGCGGCTAGCTTGGAGGAATAATATAAAGACTGATCACTGTATGAAATATTAAATTAAGACTGCAATACACAGTGTGATCTGGAGACTCCGGATTCATGAACCCCGAAGTGTGTTCCACTTCCATATCCGAAGTACCCGTATCCATCAGATAAAGAACTCATCTCGAGTAATAGTCGTGGCAGCTGTACGTTGGCGGGCGGCTACAGTACTAATAGTACTATGATAAACTGTGAACTGCGCTTCTAGGACCTTAAAATTTTGTTAGAAATAGACCTGTCAACAATGAGGAACATTTATTTAGGTAAATTAGCATTTCCTTTGATGGTAATAGCTGCTTAATTATGGTAAAATTATGTAATAATGCTTCAAATCATATGCAACTTTAATTAGCTATATACTTCACATAACGCGAAACAGCTTGGCATGAAATCGGTGTTCAGCTCTCGGTTTTATAGCTGTATGAAATGAACTGTTGTAGATTACCATTACGGCTCGGATTGCAATGAGCCCAAACTCGTCCGTGTGTGGGTCGCCACGCTCGTACGTGTGTGGTGAAATTAATCCGAGCCAGACTCGTACGTGTATGGGCCGCCTAAGTGACAGATTTAACATAGAATGTGTACTGAGGTGATAAGTTATTCGCAAAACGAAATAATACTATTTGCCAATAATATTTTGTAACACACAATTAAAAGCAGCAATCAAATTTTGACCCATCTTGGATACAATTTTGGGCCATCAGCACTGTAGCCCATGAGCAAAATTGCACTGCAGTCTTGGCTTATTCACAAAAAGAATTATAGATGCTCCTTTTGCATAACAGTGTCTTCATGCGACCACTTGTTGAGAAACTCGAAATGAATGTTTATGAAATTGTTATTTGGTGGAAATCTCGAAATAGTTAGATTTAGCGGGAGTACAGGAGGTCAGATGGGACGGAGGTAGCATCAAACTAGCAGGCGAATATATATTTTTCTATGGAAGGGGGGAATGAAAATCACCATTCAGTCCAGAACCTTTTGTCTTCTCGCTGTCCAAAAACATTAAAATTAGAATATACCGAACTATAATTTTACCTGTGGTTCTGTATGAGTGTGAACTGGTTTATGACATTAAGGGAGGAACATAGACTGAGGGTGTTTGAGAACCGGGTGTTGAGAATATTTGGACCAAAGAGAGATGAAGTAACAGGAGGTTGGAGAAAACTGCATAATGAGGAGCTTCATAACTTTTACTCTTCCCCAAGTAGAAATAGAATGATCAAGTCAAGGAGGACAAGATGGGCAGGGCAAGTAAGGTGAATGGGGGAGAGGAGGACTGCATATAGAATATTGGTTGGAAAGCTGGAAAGAAAGAGACCACTGGGAAGACCAAGGAGTAGGTGGGTGGACAATATTAAAATGAATCTTAGAGAGATAGGATGGGATGATATGGACTGAATTGAATTGATCTGGGTGAGGAAGGTGTCAGCTCCATGATTAAGTAAGTTATTTGGTGGGGAGGATTATACCTTTAACATATTACACTTTCGTAATTCGAACAACAATAATGAGCACTTTTCAAGAAGAATTTCGCTTTTCATGCATCTCGAGCTTGTTTGCATCGAAGCTAACGTGGAGGAAAGGCATTTTATGTGTCTCTTGTGGTTTCAGAGGTAATTAAAAGGGAATGTTTATGTTGCTGTGTCATAACTCGAGAACCATTAGGCTGATGTTACAGATATTAGGTCGAGATTAGTGCACAAATATTTTCAACCATCGCAGATTTCATAAAGATTGGAGCAGTAGAAGAGATCCTAGCCGAAATACGGAATCGTATAAGCCCTTCCCATGCTCATGCCCACCCTGTTTTATGGCCTGTGTAAGAGAGCATTTTTCAACTGAAAATATGGAGATGCCAGCGAACGCGTCAAAATTGTGACACCATGCATTCATTTTCCACCTTCTTGTGGTATAAATTAACATCACACAATTGTGACATTAAGATTTGTAGCACGGAAGTCTACAGTAGGAAAAGATACTTTGAGTTCTGTTAGTTCAACGGGGACGAAAGTAACAAGGATTCACCGAGTTACGAGCATATATATGTATTCACTTGGGAATAGCGGAGAAGTGGAAATATTATTCGTAAGGAATTCTTGTGTGTTAGCTTAGTAATCATGAAAATTGTCCACGTAGCAGAAGTACATGGTATGAACGCAGCGAGCGTGGTCAGCAAACACAGGGAGAGTGAAAATAGCCGTGGCAGAAGTTAGTGAATATTTAGACCTGCTGTAGAAGGAAGGTATTATTCATTGTAGGTGCAGAAATATGCATCTCCAATGGAATAGACGAGGAAGAGTTGGTGGAGGTATGGATGGCCTTCAGCGTGTCGCACCTGAGGGGTGCCGACCCCACGCTAGATACGCTCGTTCAGATGGAACGCAGAGAGTTCAGCAAGAAGCAGGAGTTGCAGCCCCAACCCCAGAAGCAGTCTACAAGGTCACAAGAGAACTCGCTAGTCATATACCTGGGCAAGGAGTCTACGTATCCTTTGTATACAGCACTTCAGTAGTATTGCTACAATTAGTTTTAGAGTTTAGAGATAGTAGTGCATGCAAACTTCACGTATTTATTATGTAGCGTCGAGTTTTGTCACTCGGAACAGCATTTTCCATCCAAGGAGCGCCATCAGAGGCTGTACTTCGAGATGGGGGATGCGGGCATGAAGGATTTTTTCCAATATTTGCTAAGCGTATGTTGTATTTTTGTATTGTCGTGCTTCTAGATGAGTATTAATCGGTTGGTTCAAGATCGTGCGGAGAAGTGAGGGTTGCGTCCCGAAATGGAAGGCCACGCGGTCAGCCTGCAAGGGGGGGGGGGTCTCCTGTGTGTGTATAATACTAAAGTGGATCGTAAGTAATCGGTTAGTCGATTCATTATATACAGCATAGCGTTGAGTAATGTGACTGGAATTGCGAAGTATTTGGAAGAAATCGATCATGGTCAATTTTGAAGTACTATCGCGGCGTTTGTCCGGCGGAACTGAGGAAATCCACGAACGGTGAGAATCGGAGAAAGGTAGACAACATAGTTATGAGTAATTAAATAATTAAACATGCCGTGTAAAGGAAGGGGGGAACAAAAAAGTGAAAACGAAACGGCTCCGGTGTTGGACAACGATAGGTGACATTTCCCACATGATAAAAGTTGGTGCATGGGAGTTGGCATGACGTATTTTCGTAATAGTGTGCTTTCGTTGGGAAAAACCGTTACGCACACCTCGGAACTTCTTTCCCGGTTACTAAACGTGTTTTCATCTGGTAGAATACTGTCGTTTTGAGTAGGAACTTCCACTATTGGTACTTGGCCCTCTGGATTTCCATTCTTCAGTTCCCAGGATCTGATCCATTGTTCGGCCATCTTCGCATATTCCTCAGACCATCCGTGCGAATATACCGTTACATGTGTTACGTTCATATATTATGTATATTACTTAGTCTCTAGTTCATGGATACCGTCATCCGTGTCGAAGCCTTTCGGCAAACACGACTTTAATTTTACTGTATTAATGAAGACTTGGTGTGCCTGTAGTGTTGGTTATTGGTTGATTACAGGTACATATCCTTAACTTTGATATTAGCGAACCCGACGATGGAGATGACATTCTGGATGCATACAGCTCAACTCCCAAAGCAAAGGTAAGATTTTGTGTTCTGACCACAATATTCAAGTGGAATGTTTTAATGATGTACCGCCGCCATATTGTATGTGCCCAGAGGGGGGGTTGGAAGAAAATGAAAAGGTAGATGCTCCAACCAAACCAGCCTCCTGGAGGAGAGAGGCGGGGGAAACCAGTTCTGTTGGCGATGTTGCCATGTTTTATATTGATTCTTAAGTATTGCGAACTGTTGAGAGAGCAGTGGCGTGGGTTGTCTTGTGAGAGGTTGAGACCAAGGAAGCCAAGGTCAGTAGCGTCTTTGACAAGAGAAGGACGCTTGGCGTTTCTGGTAGCGTTGTGGGGTTTTCTGTAGATGGGGTCAGGCGGTGTCACTGGTAAGTCCGTCTGCTGCGTTGCCGCGTCCGTGGAGTGACTGACCTGTTCTTACAATTGCGAGGACCCGACGTAAAGGATGGTTCATTTCTTAGGGCACAACGTGTATGATTAAAGGTATGTCGGAATTCATTCCCCAACAAGCAAGACCGATAACGTATACAGTAAAAGTGTTTTTTGCCTTTAGCGGCATTGAATGCAGTGTCTGAAAGATGTTAAAAGTTTTATGGATGATTTGAAACGATACGTTAAAACCAATTTTAATTTGAAAATTTAACCCTTCAGTCCTATTAACATCCTGAACAGGGATGAATATTTTTGTTGAAAAATGTGATTTAGTTAGCAGTTGTATTAACTGTATGTCATGTATATTGTTTTCAGTTTGATTGTTCACACATATATGAAGCTTTCATGTATTCAGTTTTATGTCATGAAAATACCCAGAAAAGGAAGAGGAAGTACACTGAAATGCTAGAAGAGAGTTAAACGTCCTCAGCCTAAAAAATTGAAGGGTTGACCAAGAATAAAAAAGGGCTGTGTTTATGACTACTCTGTTGACGTATGGCCCATCTTAACGATACAGTGGGTTTTAAGATGACAGTTGCTTTTTGGCAGCTTTAGTGATTTTCTGACTTCGTGGACAGTGTTGTGTAACTGAACATTACAGTTGTACATTCAGAGGGTCCTAGGTTCAGATCTTGGTCTCAAAACTGGCTGTAGTGGCTAGGGGTTTTTTTGGGGTGTTGTATAGTTCCTTCAGACGAATGTTTGGATTAGTACTTGCAATTGTCTTGTGAGATCTTATTGTTGCACTGAGTGTGCCACTTTTTTTTTCTGCATCTCTTTCATTTTGTCCACACTTTAGTGACATTTGAAGTGAGTCGAAATTAGGTTTTTCATTAAATTAATTTTCGAATTAGTCGTTTTTCAGGCACTGTTAATTTTTTTACGGCATTACACATACCATTTCTCATTGCAAGGTATGCAAATTATATTCTTATTGTGAGCAAGAACTGATACAGTGCAATAAGAATTCAGAAAAGGTGTTCCATTTTTGTTGTTGGAAATGTGAATGAATTCAAAACAAAGATGTTTCTGTGGTGTTGGTGTCATCAGGTTTCACATTTGCAGGATGAGAAGTTTTCGAGGCTCCTGGTGGGTGTAGGTCTGGTGCACGTGATACAGCAATCGTGACTAGATCCACACTCATCAAGGGAACCGAGGCATGCCCTGTAGTGTTGTAAAGTTTATAGCACTGTGTACATGATTTATGTATTTTGTTGGTATTTTGAATGCTTTCATGTGAATGACATCTGATATCCTCCATTCTAGTACGTCATATGAAAAACTGGGCATTAAACTTCTGTATTTCAACAGTTGCCACTGCCAGAAAGGTAACGAAAATCGTGTTTGCTTAGATTATGTCAGCGTAGCATATATTTTCTGTTCAGAATAGTCTGAAACAAGATGTATTGTCATTGCTTTTCATATTTACCCTAGAATATAGGATTAATAATAACCAAGAAAGTGGGGAGGTATATGAAGTTGAAAGAGACACATCAGCTTGTGATCAGTGATCACTTTCTGGGTATTATCACAGACACCTTGCCACTAGTAAGGAGATAGGTCTAGAAGTAAATGTGCCTCATTTCTCATCGCTAGAAAGCAGAGCATTATCATAATATCAAAATAACTTGTATATCCTTTAAAAATGTGCCAAAGTTAAAATAGTATGACATTCTTGGAGAAACCAAGAGCAGATTAAATTCAAGGAATCTTTGTTTGTCTTGTTCCACAAATCATTTTTGTAATTGAAGTTGTATTTAAGTAATGTAAATTTATAACCCAGCAATGAAATTCAGTTCAGCTGATGGGCTAGTATCCTGGGCTTGTGTAGTTGGTCATATTATCTTCAAGTCCAGATTTTTTCTGTGTTAATTTTTTTCAGCATAATATAAAATATTTGTTTCATTGCCCTGTTTGTAGTTGCTCCAATTGGTGGACAGTATGTCATATTGAATTTTCACACCAACTCTGATTCATTAGTTATCACCATTAAGCTGAAGCCTGAAGATAGATTCTGTGTAGCCACCATTTTGTTTTGTTTTATGCAAAGAAAAATTTTCAACAAAAGATTCATATTTTTTAAGGTCTGTTACCACACAATTTTGGAACCATGGGTGTAAGTGGCACCATTATCATTCCAACCCTACAAGTTCTTACATCTGCCATGTTGTTATTACTTGCTGACTGTAGGAAATTGGAAAGCACGAAGATGGAGAAACCTCTGATGGCATAACATCTATACCAAATTTCATGAAATTCAATCGCCTTTTCAGAAACGGAATTGAGGGGGGAAGACAGCATAGGTCTCCTTTATTTCCAGAATATAAGAAAGTAAGCTAAGTATATACAATTAAAAAATCTACAAACCTATAATATCTATTTTATGCAAATATTAAACGTAATCCCTCGTTGTAGAGGTGCTGCAGAGAAGGTTTGTACTGATCAGAGGAAGTAATGGCAGGCTAGAGTAAGTTGCATAAAGAATGCTGTAGCATGTACACTTCAGTCTGTGATCAGGGTGATGAAATCGAAGAGAACGAGATGGGGAGGCATGTAACTTACATAGGGGCAATGCATCTACAATCATTTAGCCCAGAAGTGTTGAAAGAAGACACCACTTGGGAAACCCAGACATACACAGTGTGTCCAGGTTCTGTTAGGACTGTGTTAATTAAAAATAAAAGATGTGAATTATTTTCAAAATTTCACTCTTTTTATTCAAAATGGTCTTCTGAATTAATACATAGCTGGAATCGATTGAAAAGTTTTTGAAAACAGTCACTGTACTCCTTTTGTGGAATCGCATTTAAAACTGCAGTAGACTCCCTTTGGATGTCCTGGATGGTGCCGTGACAGTCTCCTTTAATCACCAACTTAACTTTTGGGAACCAGAAATGTGCCGGAGCCAAATCTGGTGAATATGGATAATGATCAAGGACTGTGATCCCTTTTCTGGCCAAAAATTCGCCCACGATCTTCGATTTGTGGGGTGGGGCATTGTCATGGAGGAGTGATCAGGAACCTTGCTCTCGATATTCAGGTCGAATTCAAAGAATTCTTGCCCACAAACAATTGACTCCGAGATAATAATCAGAATTCACTGTTTGACCTTCTGGCAGAAATTCCTTGTGAATGATTCCTTTAGAATCAAATCGAAGAAAACGGATAGCAGTGTCTGCTCAACTCTTTTGCATGTGCACTTTCTTTGGGCTCAGCCACGCTGCACTCTGCTGCTTTGTGAGAGGCTCATATTGAAAACACCATGTCTCGTCACCAGTAACAATTGATTTTGTAAATTTTGTATCACTTTGTGCTGACTGTAACATGTCTTTGCAGTGTTCCACTCTGGCATGTTTTTCGTCGCCTGACAGCGCATGCGGTACAAACCGCGCACAGACCTTCCATTTGCCCAAATCCTCGGTCAAAATTTGATGCACAGTACTTTTTTGTATTCCCAAAAGCTCCTCGATGAGTCTTGCAGAAACACATCTGTCTGATGCAAGGATTTCGGCCACTTTTTTCACATTTTCTTCAGTACAACTTGTTCTCGGCTTTGATGCACATAGAGTGTCTTCAGTGTCCTCCCTGCTATCACAAAAGACAGCATACCATCGAAAAATGTTCGAGCGACTCAATCACTACCATACACACTTTTCATCATTTTGTACGCATCTCTGGCTGTTTTGCCTGACTTCAAAATTTGATGTTGGCTCTCTGTTCAACCACCATTTTCCAGTGAGCGTCAGAACAGTACTGTTACATTCAAGGTCAGAACGCATGATGCAGCGATGTTTGCGCTTTGAAATTATAAAACAGCCACAGTTGAAACTTCAAGAATCTTAACGCTACAACTCGCCAACAGATGGCTTTGCAGGGCAAAATAAAAAAAATGAGTCCTAACGGATCCTGGACACACCATGTACATAAAAGGATAATATTATAATGAATTTTAATTAAGCAAGTTCTAAGGATGTCTATAGGATTCAGCTGGCTTAGAATTAAGAGTAGTGAGCAGGTAGTGAACTTTGTGGTTCCGTAAAAGGTGGGCAGTCTTTTTAGTTGATAAGAGACTATTAACTGCTCAGTTGGTGTGTATAATTTTATCATCTGTAGTGTTGCATTGGTCTGTATATGTGGCACAAATTAGTAAAACAAAATGTATACTAACTCTGTAGAATATGACCTCTATATTAACCGTCACAACACAACAAATATCAATTTGTTATTTTCTTGTGTTGTGACAGTTTATTATTATTATTATTGGAGGGGGTGGGTTTTCCCCATGCACTATGACCAGTTGTTGATCCATTATGCATCCCCCTTTAATTTCTACTGTTGCCGTGCCCTTCCAATACTGGTGCTCGCTATCGGCCCCCTTCTGGTATCTCAGCATTGTAAGAATATAGGAATATCTGAAGTTTTTACTTCTCTTACCAAGATATTTGGAAACAAACTGCATGTCAGATTTGTGCCACCTCTTTAGACTTCAGTGACAGACTGCAGCACTGGGTCAAGTGTATGGGAGTTTACTATTGTACTCTGTACTCCAGATCTGTGGTAGTTTATTTGGTACAGCAACTAGGATGTCGGCTGAAAACCAGGGAGCCAGTGTTTGATTCCCAGCAAGGGCAAGAAATTTTTCTCTTGTCAGCATTTAGGCAGCCTCTGGGACCCATCCAGCAGCCAGAACATGAAACTGACCACTAACCTGCATTTAGTGCTTGGGTTAAATGTGTGTGGAACTATGCCCACAATCTCCAATATGAATAGCGCAACTTTACATTCTACCTTAGTTTCAGGGCTTCCCAGCTTCAGTAGCACCACCTGGCACCTGCGAGTGAAGAAACTGCTTACAGCTGGTGGGTCTGGATCTAGATGACGTGGTATGAAACGTGACTAGATCCATACTCGTCTACTGTGATTAGTGTCTGCAGCATTAATCTTGAAGTCAGTTTATTATGCTTTGAAAGTATTTTATGTTCTGTAATCTTAAGATGTTGTTTCCTGCATTGCATCAGTGTGCAGAAGATGTAGGTTTTTAGACATTATACAAAAAAAAATGTGACAGCATGATCGATAAGTGTATGTGTGTGTGTTCATGTGCGCACGCTCGCATGTACTTGTCCTTTTCAACTGACCAGATATGAAGTAAATTGTTGTCTTTTTTGAGTGTGTTGGACATATGTTGATATCCAAAATGGATTTTCATTCTCCCAAGGAGACTATTATGTTCAAAATTAATTGCATGTCAGTGTATGAAGAATGACAGGTCATTCATTTAAAACTGAACTGCTTTTTATTGCAGAACAGAGATGGAAAGAAGGATGAACACACACCTGATGCTGGACCAGGACGTGGTCGCAGCCCTAGAGCCATATTCTCTCCTGCCAGCTTCTCGCCTACTGCGTATGTAAAGTCAGACCTTGTAGTAAAAAAAAATAAAAGAATATTTTTAGTGCTATAGTGTCGATACAGCACTGTTGAGTAATCAACTTAAGGAAAGTTTTCTTTACCATGTATAAAATTTCAACATTTCACAAATGTCCATTTCCTTTCTTGTCCTGCTTTATACACTGACTGCAAGTAATAACTTTTTTTTGTTATTGACAGTGCAACACCATCCAGCAAGTACAGGGCTCGCACCAACAAGGGCGATGCAGTGTGTGTGTATGGTGAGAAATGTGAAACAGATTGGCACCCACAAAATAGTCACTTTCAACCACTTGTACAGTTAGCATCTTCACACATGCAAGCCAATACATGTTTTATGTTCAACCAAATGCGAGACATGGCTCAGGTGCTGAATGAAACTGTTCATCACGTGGGACAAATGATACTTAAGAAGTTTGCATTGCAGGAGCCCCAGGCAATAAACCAACCTCACCAGGTAAGCAGTGGACAGAACACAAGTGTGCTAACTTTCTGGTTGAAGAGCCAAATGGGAAGTTTTGTTTTGCTCAGCCAGAAAGGGATGATATCAAGTGAGTTATTTTAAGTATGTATCTTCAGAGGGAGAATAAAAACCAGAAAACTCCACATTATATGATTTATTGTTATTGTTTGTCAAGTTAATGTGATAATGGTGTTGCTTAAAGTTGGTGAGAAGTTTTCTCTTATCTGGTTCAAATACTGATGTTGGCAGTGGACAAAGCTAAAGCCAAATTCTCCTGTCATTTATACTCTTAAATTTGATTTGTTTATCTTCATTAAATGTTTACAATTGTGTGTGAGCACAAAGGTTGATAACTTCTTTAAGAAGTATTTTAAATTGCTGTATTTTGAACCACAACAATCCAAAAGGGCATACTCCGTAGGATTGAGTTCTTTTGTTAATTCTGTAAGACTGCAGGTCAGTCAGTTCCAGCTGAAGACTGTTAGAGCCATTTCCACATTAGCGAATACAGGGCAAATTGAAGAGTTGAATTTCATTTCTTACTTTCTTGAAATCTCTAATTTGTCTACTTCTTATAGTTTGCTGAGGATATTACTGTTCTTATTGGTATACCCAGTATTCATTGAGGAGAAAAATATCCTGAATAAAACTTATAGGTATTCATTGGTCATTGGAAGTGTTACTCAGCCCTGTGTTCATGCTGTCTGGCAGAAGTATGTTCGTTGTGCACTATACTCCTGCAGTTTGTAAATCGGATGGTGAACTCTCACACATTTAACTGAAACATGCCTAAACCATTTGCCTTGTTTTTCCATAAGCACATTTAAATATAGTTGCATGCTATTGAAGGTGAACCGTTACGCACTTTTGTGTTGAAAATGAAGAGTCTTAAGTTAGTGATAACAAATGCTGTGGTATTGTTGCAGAACCAATTTGTTGGTGTGGGTCGTGTGTGCTGTGACAGCAACGGGCGCCTTAATGCTAAATCTTTAATACTTGAAAGCTTTTCTGGCAAGACAGTTCCCATGGATGTATCGCAGGTTGAAAGTTTTTCATTGTTTCCTGGACAAGTAATTGCAGTTGAAGGAGAGAACCCACTAGGGAGTAAGCTGTCTGCTAAACAGATCTACACTGATACTTCCTTGCCATTACCCCAAAGACCATCTCTGTCATCAGAAGAAAATGGTAAATGGACTTGTATGACCAGCTGTTGATATCTTGGTCACCTGTGCTACTGGTTTATGTGGGTCTTAACATCTTCATAATTAGTTAGTTAGTTAGTTATTGGAGATGGTAGGTTTCCCCATGCACTGAGACCTGTATTGGTCCATTGTGCTTTCCTCTATGATTTCTACCAGACTCTATATCCTACCGGTACTGGTGCTTACCATCAGTCCCGCCCAGCCAGTGAGACCGGCTCTACTAGCTGAGAGGTATCTATAATGCTTCCCCCATCTACCAGAGGTATTAGAAACTGCTGTTGGGCGTGAAATGTCCGTTAATTTGGCTCAGTGACCTCCTTTGGAGATATGAGGTTCTTTTACGTGCCGTAAAGCTACAACACGGGACCCGGAGGACTTGTTCCCTGAATTTTTCTGCCCTTAAAAATTCGACGACCTCCACTGGGTACTTGAACCCGCGTACTACGAGTCATGAGGTGGGAACGTTACCTCTAGACTATGGAGGCCGCTTAACTTCATAATTAACTAGCATATGTAACAAATTTTACAGAAAGAGTATTCCAGATTTCACTCTGTGAATTAGTTTTTACGTTATAATGGAGCCACAAGTTACTGATTCTCATATCTACCTTCATGTAACGTAGTAAAACCCTGCTTGGATGTAAGAATGTTGCGCTTCTGAGATCATAATTTCACCTTCAGACGTCAAAGAGTGTATTCAGAAGCAAGGAGCATTCAGAGTACATACCAGTGCTGTTTGAGGCAGACAGCCTGAATACTGATTTTGAATCATTAATCATGGCTGGACATTGTTGTATGGATGCAGTACAGTTTGTGCAGTTGGCTTCTTGTCATCAGTATCCTGCAGTATAGCATTTGCATTGCAATGTACTTTTGTTTCAGGTCCAATACAGATTGTTGTGGCAGCTGGTCCATTTACACAATCTGATACTTTGACGTACCAGCCGTTGGAGGACTTAGTGGAATATATTCAGGAACATAGCCCACACTTGGTCATTTTAATTGGTCCATTTATTGATGCCACACATCCACATGTGATTGAAGGAATACTTGCAGAAACTTTTCAAGCTTTCTTTGAGAGGATTGTTGATGGGATTATGCAGCCTCTGGAAACGTAAGGTTCATGAGAACTCATCAGTATTAGGTAACCACGTCAAAGACACTTGGTAATGAGAAACTGAAAGTGTTACTGGAGTCCTCCATAGTAACAATTTTGAAGTTTAATTAAACTGATTATCTGGTGTTGATTTCATTCCCCATGTTTGCTGTTATAGTTCATTATATTTATAGGCCCTCTCTGTTGAATTCTTTTTGCCATATGAATAAAATGGAATGTATTTTTATATACTGGAGATCTTCAGGGTTTTTAATTTTCTGCAAAATTAATTTTGTGATTTCATAGAGAACTGTTCCATACACACTGAAAATAGACTAACAAAATTTGTTGCTTGGTTTTAGATTTTTTTAATTTTGTAGTACAGAATTACACCGTGGAACCCCTGTTTAAATGATTGTCTTGTGGGCAGAATTTCTGAACCTTAAATCAGGAAATTTCTTAAGCAGGGGTTATATGAAATTTGGACAGAAAATTATACTTCGGTGTTCATATCAAATACTTGCTTTAATGCATGGAACATTTCAGATAGGCTTCTATTTGCTGATCACATTCAGTTTTAAAAATAATTTATTGATGCACAGAAATATGCACATGTGTAAACATATACAGGGTGATTCACGAAGTTTTACCCCGGCTTATGGTACATATTCCTGGGGTTATTTCCTGCAAAATTTCCATATAAACTTTTGGTCGATTTTCAATAGTTACGGAGTAACAATAGATTTTCGAAATGCATCATTGTGAATGCAGTGCTTTGCTCCCCTCCTGGGCGACCTTGCGTTCCAGTCAGCAGATAAGCTGACTGGCTGGAATGTTGCGCGATCCAGTAGTGAACAGGACATTATGTTGGTGACTGTGAAGTTAAGATGTCGTACACATTTTCCACTGAGGAATATACCGATATGGTGTTTGTTTTGGGTGTATGTGATGGAAATGCAAGAGCTGCTGCTGCTGAATATTACCGGCGTTATCCTAATCGCAGGATTCTGAATCCTAAATCCATTAGCAGTACATTCAACATATTAAGACAAACTGGTTCTCTCCCCAGCGTTCGTATACATTATGAACAAAATCCTCAACATGAACTGTGCGAAGAAGAAACCATTCTCGATGCTGTAGAGCGCAGTCCGCGTGCCAGTACTAGATGTCTGTCTAGCTCGGCGGTTCGATGTTTCTCAATCCATGTCGTGGAAGACTCTTCATGAGAATGGGCTGCATCCTTACCATTTACAGCAAGTACAACATCTACAACCAGGAGACTGTGCTCTTCGTCTGCAGTTCTACAACCGGTTAAATGGAAATCGGCAGTTGTACCGCTTTATAATGTTCTGCGATGAGGCACAGTTTACACAGGACGGTGTCAACAACAGTCACAACTTACACGTTTGGGCAGAAAATAATCCCCGTGCCACGATAGAATCGAATTTTCAACACCGATTCAGTGTCGATATCTGGTGTGGTGTTCTGTATGATCAGCTAATCGGGCCGTTCATTTTTCCTGGCCGCTTAACTGGTGAGATTTACCTCCACTTCTTAGAAGAAGAATTACCACAGTTACTTGAAGATGTTCCTCTGGCAACAAGATGCCGGATGTACTTTCAGCATGATGGGGCGCCTCCTCACTTCTCCCACGCAGTAGCAGCTCACTTGGATCAGCATTTCCCACAGTTGTGGATTGGTCGCAGAGGCCGTAAAGCCTGGCCTCCCAGGTCGCCAGATCTAACACCGTTAGGTTATTGCATTTGGGGCTGGATGAAAGGCATTGTGTACCAGGTAAAGGTACAAACATGTGAAGCGTTGTTTGAGCGTATACTGGATGCGGCGATGACAATAAGGAACAAATGTGTGGAACTGCGAAATGATATGAGCGCGGTTCATACACATGTAACGCATTGTGTTGACGTGCGTGGAGACATTTTTGAAAATCTTATATAAATCCAGTCGTCTTCTAAAGCACTACAGTTTAAAGGAAACATTGATAGAAGGGTGTGAAATGCAACCATTGGTATGTTTACAGAATGGGATGCTGAAAATAATGTAAATTTATAACAAAATCGATGAAAAATGTTGCACAATGCAAAATAAAGAAATTGAAAAAAAAAGTTTGGTTTTAGAATGCTTCTTTCCTAAAACATTAACGATTTAAATAGTGTTTGTATTGTATTTCTAATTTGTTTTGACTGAAATTCGAAGAAAAAGAGATTTTTCACCAGTTTTCAAATCACTGTATCTCTTTAATTATGAGTTGGATACCGTTAGTATATTAACATTTTTTATTCCAAATTACCTCAGGAATGCTCTCCCTAAGTGGGGGTAAAACTTCGTGAATCATCCTGTATATTGTTTACACATTTAAATGTTATTAAACATACCAATTTTAGACACATTTATATACATATACTGCAAGCAGTACACAGCACATGTGGTAATATAGCGACCAGTGAAATACAGTAGGTGTTGTGTGACACCTTTCTTCAAGTTGCTCAGGGTCAATGGACACCCACACAAATTGTTCACAAGTTGACCAACTTACTGCACAGAAGATGACTTTGTTCAAACAGTAGCTTGTGTAAATCAGAATTGGGCAAATTATGACCTTTATGTGTAACATGAATGCTGAATCATGGTGCAGACTTTGCATATGGGCTCAATGTGAGTAAAACCTTAAATTGAGAAATACTAGAATTGGGTAATCTGTGCACTGTATGTACACCGAACACCAAATGTAGAAAACCTTGAGTTTGGGATTCGGCTGTATAAACTTTTTAGACTTTTTCCCTGTTTAGGAGATTGTGCTATTTATATTTCCTTCTCAATTTTTGCCATAGTAATATGTTTGTACACATCCTAATGAGGTAAATGTCCCTGTGCTTAACTAATTAAGCACTATACCATGAAGTTATATGGGAGAGTGGATGTATAGATCCACATTTTCTTCACCTCGACACTTGGAGGTGAGTGGTCAGCTTCATGCCTTGGCAGCTTTACCCCTGTGGAAAGAGCCCCTGGTACCCACTTGATAGGAGGTTGGGTGGACCCTCGAGCTGGTCTGGAGGACGTGGAGAAGTGAAAATTCTTACCCCCACCAGAACTTGAACTCTGACCTCTCGGTTATCCAGCTCATGGCGAGTTGCTGTACTCACTGTGCTGTTCTCTGCTGTGTGTAATGTTCATCTCTTCATCTTCATTACTGGCCCTTCCTTTGTATAATGAACATGGATCGTGTAATACCCATATTCACCCTATAATCCTCGTTTAGGTGTAAAGCTCCCTGTGCTTGACTATGTCATAAAGGCATATGGTAGAGTGGGTGTATAGATTCACTTATTCTTGGCCTTGGCACCATTTGGAGGTTAGTGGTCTGCTTCAAGCTCGTGCCACTTCACCCCTGGAGAAAGCCCCAAGTACCATTTGGATAGAAGGCTCAATGGAACCCAGATCCAGTCTGGATGTGAAGAGAAACGTCCCCTTCCAGACTTAAACTCTGACCTCTCTGACATCCAGCCTATATCCATTTGCTGTACTGACTGGGCTGTCTTGGCTCAAATATATTAAGGTCAATTACACTTTATAAACGCCTGTCCCACCTATCTCCATGGTACTGCCCCTGCAGTTTTCATGTGATTCTCTAGTTAAGTGGCCCCATGCAGAACAAAAATTAGTATGCCAGACTTGGTTTTGAACTTCATAAGTTTTTGTCTTGACAGTGCTTGTTTATAATAGAGCCAGTTTCCTAAGACATTTGACACCATTTGTGGATATTTCAGTGTGAAGGGGCTTCATGAACATGGCACATGTCAGTAATGTTATTGTAATTTTGTGACACTTTTGAAATTGCACAATAAATGTCACATTTTACTGTGTGCTCACACTTGATGACATACAGTATTCTGGTGGTAAGAGGTGTAGGTACTATTGTCGAATTTTCATAGCACTTTGAAATTGTTCAACTCATGACACATTTTGCTCTGTTGTGCATACTCAGTAATATTTTATCATTACTTCTACAGTGTTGCCTCTGCAGGTCATATACACGTGACATAACTAATAATCCAAATTCCACCATCAGTGCCACTGTAGTTTATTAGCTTATTTCCCATTATGTGTTTTGACCCATATAGAGTCATCAGGTGCTGTGATTTACACATTTTCCTTATCGAATTGTGTGCGTTCATATTTACATACATAAACTTAAAGTGACTACTACATTTAGTAATAAGAATATAAATGTACATAGAAAGTAGCCAATTTAGGGCTGTGAATGCAAATGTGAATTCACACTTACGATGGAGTACCCAAAAGAAACTGAAATATTTTTTTTGTGGGCAGAGCTTTTGTAGTACCGCATTTTGCCGCTATGAGCGCATAGAGCTAACATTCCTGAGTCGATAAGCCGACTACTGTTGCTTCAGACGGTAAGGACTAGTTTCGGCAGAGTTTATAGTGACAACTGTTTTGTGTGATCGTCGTTTTTGCAGTGGCTGATTTTCGTGAACAGCGTGCGGCAGTGAAATTCTGCTTTTTGCTCGGGAAAAGTGGAACAGGAACTCTTGAAATGTTAAGAATGGTGTACAAGGACGATGCTATGGGGAAAACTCAAGTGTTTGAGTGGTTTTCCCGTTTCAAAAATGGTGAAATGTCAATTGATGACAAACCTCGTTCTGGTCGTCCTTCTGCGGCCTGAACACATGAAAATGTTGAAAAAATTCGTGAAATCATCAAGGAAGATCGACNGTTTCCTCGAATGAAAAGAGACATGAAAGGAAAAAACGACGAAGGCGCTGTCAAGCATCTCAAAAGATGAATTTAGACAATGTTTTGAAAAATGGAATAAAAGACTAGACAAGTGTATTAGTGTAAGTGGAGAGAACTTTGAAGGGGATTGAAGGTTTGTGCTTAAAATTTGAATAAAAAGTTAAAAAAAATAAGTTCGGTTTCTTTTGGGTACCCCCTCGTACAGTTCAATTATGAAAATGTGTAAATCACAGCACCTGAGAATGACCCTACGAGGGTCGAAACATGTAGTGGAACATAGGTTAATTATAGTTGTGTTGACAGTGGAAATTGTGTTGTTATACTCAACGCAACAGGCTGCAAACATTAAAAATAAAAATGAAAAAGATGGGGACAAAACTATTGTTAAATTTACATGTTTCTTTCAGTTGTCTGGAGATTGTAAGAAATGTTACAAAAGTAGCAATGGAATGTCACAGTTTTACTTACCTCACTATCCATGCTGTATGTGTAGTATTCTCTAAACATTGCTATGTCCACCTTCATATCACCTGAATGAACGTTATATGCAGTGTTGCTGAAATGTGCCTTACTGTGTGTTGCTTCCGAAGATGTGCAAGTTCTGTATTGGGAGGTCTTGTTTTTTCCCCCCTTCTGTTTTTAGGCTGAATACACAAGTTCTGATGATACCTTCATGGCGTGATGCCCACCACCATGCAGTGTATCCAGTTCTACCATTTGTGCTTCGGAAACAGTATGCAAAACTCATCCTTGCACCTGATCCCTGTGTAGTTGATATTCATGGTCTTGTAATTGGTGCAACATCTACAGATATATTGCTTCATTTGGGTAAAGAGGAAATATTTCAGTAAGTTACTTGTTTACACACTAATTTTTCTGTAGATAGAGCATTGCAACAGAAACATTGATGTATGTAAGAATGTTTTTTTCTCTATCAAATGTAGTATATTTGATTTTGTTGAAGCCCCCTTAAGTTGTTTCTTTACATGGGCAACAGTAGAGTACAGTCAAGTCCAGATATGAAACGTATTAAGATGGTGAGTAGTCGGACATTCATATTTTGGTACTAAATAGAAGTGTGACATGAAGTTCTGCAGCGTGTGCTGGGTGATGTGTTGGCAGAGGTTTAGAAGAAAAGTACTGTAAAATTTTATTGGATTTTTCAAGCAAACTGTTGTGTATGTTCCAATTAATTGTGTTTTCTGAGTGTGTGGATCTCGAGATTTTCAAGATAGAATTGAAGAAAAAGTTTTAAAATGTTAATTTTTAACCCAGGCGTAGAGAAATTTCGAATAACTGTTACTGCTTTGTGCAGTATCACAAACTAACCCTGTCCAACAAAATTGTGATGCACAGAATTACTGGGGTTTTAGACTTTTTCTGTCATCTGAAATTTTAGGTAATAGAGGACAACTCCAGTCAGATTTACCCAGCTATTTCAACATATAGGACTAGGCTAGTTCAGTGGGCAATAACAAGAAACCATAAAATAAAAATTGTGATTGAGCGCACACATACGTGGAACTAGGGTAGAAAAGGAGGTAGATATTACATGTCTTCACAGTTTTTTCCCCATTTCTTCGCATTGGTGCTTGTGCACTTAGTTTCTGTCAGCTAGATTTCTAGCACAAATTTCTACCTCCTTTTCTATCCTAGTTCCATGCATGTGCTTGCTCTATCACACTTTTTATTTTATGGTTTCTTGTTATTGCCCACTGAACTAGCCTAGTCCTATATGTTGAAATAGCTGGGTAAATCTGACAGTAGTTGTCCAGTGATTGAGATTGGCTCTTTCTAAGGGGCCCAACTGAGTAGATGTCTTCCTTTCTCACCTGAAGACGGAAACAGATCCAGTTTCCGAAACTTCGTGTCCTCTATTACCTAAAATTCCTGGACAATGGTAAAGTCCAAAACCCCAGTAATTATGTGTGTCATCCACCATCGTCAGAACCCTTTAGAATCTACTTGTGATGGTTAGCAACACTAGCATGAATCAGCTTGTCAGAAAAATTTGTTGTGAATTTCTGTGTTGCATCCCTTTTTCTGTTGCACTGGTCTCATGTCGGAAGTTAAAACTGTTATATTTTTTTCTGAAAGGAAAACGAAACCCCCCCTCCTAATTTAAGATTTACAAAACTATAGGTCCTTACGAATTTAAATGTTATATACGTATCCCCCCTCCCCTCCAAAGCCTCATTGCATATTTAATATATATGTGTTGGCCCCTATTTCATCATCCATTATGTATCGACTGGAGCGAGTCGGTGAAGATAGATTTGGAGAACAACTCCTGTAAGGCCACCTGAATGTTTCAGGGTACAACTGAGTTTGGACAGGTTGGGGCGTATTGCTGGCCACATCTTATCCCAGCAGAGCTTCTACCCTCTGTATCCACCAGCAGAAGAAATGAACCTTGATCTAGAGTTATGGGCAAATTATGCAGTGCTGGAAGTTACACCACATATATTAATTCTGCCATCAGACCTTCGTTGCTTTGTCAAGGTAAGCATATATCTTGAACATGAAATTCATAACACTTTTCAGTAGTCACCGATTGAACTGTGTTTTATTGTTAAAGCCTGTTTTAATATCGTTATCTTGCTACTTGGCCATGCTATGGGTTAAGCAGTTGGCTAGTATGCTATTGCAGGGTCCAGTCAGTCGTGAGGAGGTACATGTGGGACCATAACAGGGGAATTAGCACTATTGCAGTTTTATCTTCATCTTTACATGCCATTTTAAATATATTAATTTGGCCCAGAATTATGTATTGTTATGGATAGCACAGTCAGTATAGTGGGTTGGATTTTGATTCTTGGTAGGGTCAGGAATTTTCTCCATGTCATCCAGACTGGTTCTGGGACCCACCCAGCCTCCTATGCAGTGGGTACCAGGGGTAAAGTGACTGGGGTGTGAAGCTGACAGCTCACCTTCAAATAGTGCCAAGGTCAAGAAGACACGGATCTGTACATGCACTCCCCCATACATCTTCATGGGATATAGCTTAATTACCTAGGTCTGTGTCCTACACAAAATTCTGAATGGAAAGAAGAGATCAGAAGTTCAAAGATGTGAGTGACAAGGCATGTCAGTGAGACAGGATTAGTCTCTTAGTAGTAACAGTTACAGTAATGGTGGTGGTAGTATGTAAATGGAAGTAGTAGAAGAGGGACACGTACATTACAGGACATGAACTATACTTATACGAACAAGGCTTTTCCAAATGAAACCCATTCAAGAATTGTTCTCAGCAGAGGAATAGAAACCATTAAAAATAGTCCAGATGGGCTTTGAATAGACATCACATCAGTCAGTGGATCCCTCAACAAAGAACTCCAGGAAGTGCTGCATCCTTCACATCTTTATCCAATTGGAATCTGTGGTCCTTGGATTGTGATATCAACATCAACACATACTGCTGTTGTGGAACTCCTCCAGGGCCTATGTACCGCTGTCAAGGGAGAGCAACCTGATATGTTCATAACAAAACCCATCCCCATGTCACTCCCATTATCCAAGATACCCAGTGTCCCAGTCACTGGAAGGTACTGGACTGCCTGTCGTAAAGCCCAGTCCCATTACTGTCTGACTTTCATGTGTTCAACATCCTCTTCCCCCCAAAAAAGTGATAAAAGCCATTGATTCAGTCAAGGAAAGATGGGGTGTTTCTAATAGGAGTTCTTTGAGAAGGGGATCTAGTGTATTGTGTGTTAGTGGGATGCTTGCCTCAGTGTTAGTGGTTTTAATGGCCTTTGCTCCTTTTGTGAGAACAGTGCTTAACCAGTTTCATATGAACAACACTTGTAATATGGGAATTTATTGTCATCACTAGATAGAAATTTGTCATTAGATTTGTCTGTGCTTCAGTGTTGTGTGCTAGGGTTACTCTATGACCCTGAAAATGGAGACAAGTACGTTCCTCCAAAATGTCAGTAAACCTCTATCATTCAACACAGTGTCACGTCTGAGAATGTGAAGTGTGTTGCATTCAAGAAATGCAGTGCAAATCACTGCTTTCATGCATAAAAGAAAACTTCAGTATTCTATTTCTGTTATGTGGAGTATGATTTCAGTGATAAATTACCTCCATCTAAGACATTCCTCAGTTTAGTGTTAAACCCCACTGTTCCCAAAAGATGCTTAAATGAGGATTTTATGTATACAATGATAAAGACCCACAAGACAGTTCAGTTATTCACAAATTGACATGTCTGAAAGCCTGGTTTCTGTGAAGCTTCTCGCAGACAGGTTGTTAAACCACATTACGTTTCCGTGACAAGGTTATATAAACAGCCAGTGAGATTAAATCCAGGGAGCCATCAAAATGGAACAATGATTGAGAGTTCCAGTTATTGTAAGCTGTTAACTAAGTGAGTAGTTGAAAATATATGGCAGACTGGGAAGNCTGCTTTTACCGGTTCTCACGGTCTCTTTGCTTGCAGATTTCTTATATATTTTTTCTTCTACCCTGAAGATGGAGGCGATACGTTCCTCCGAAACGTCGGTTAACACCACATATACACGGTGCCAAATCCCAGAAGACTGCCTTCTTCAATAACAAAAATGTTGCACAGATCCTTCCCAACTTAACACAGTACTTCTACTCTGGAAGGTCATGCCTAACCCAAATTTTGTGTAAGTAGAAATTGTTACTGTAATGTACATACATGTGTATTTGTGTTTTGTAGAAATAAATATTGAAACATGAAAAGAAGTGAATGCACTGAAGAATATAATTCTAATCAGAGAAAACTGGCATTTACAATAGCAGTTTCATTTATATATTGTGCTTTTGATCCTAGTTTTGTTTTGACTTAGTGAAAGTGACTTGGCAGTACTTATCCACACACTGGATTTTTTGTGTTTTGCATTCATTATGGACTGATTTGCATAAGTAGGGTCTTCCATAACCTGAGGAGCATCAGTAATTATCTGTAGTTACGAGCACTAAGTGTGTAATTCAGCTATCAGTCTGAACCATGTCTAAGTTCTGAACCTGTAACTATGTATAAATCTGGGCATAATTGTACATAGTAATCTGAAATGGGTATAATTGTCATACATTGGAACACTTGAATCCTATTACACTGCAGGAGTTAACCTTGATTTAAGTTTGCACAATACGAATATTTTTGTTCTGGCCCATTTTTTGTACTTCTGTATGTAAGCTTATTGTATGCTTACATCCCTTGTAAGCTTTTTGTGACATATTCAGTAATTATGATTTGTGTTTGTGTTACAGAACTTGAATGGCTGTGTAATTGTTAACCCTGAGCGGCTGGCTAAAGGATTGGTTGGTGGCAACTTTGCTCGTTTGGAAGTGTCTTGTGCAAAAGGCGATGTTAATGTCAATGCGCAAATAGTGAAGATATAACAGTAAAATGAGTAGACTGCTGGCACGGTTCATGATTTTTCCAAGAGGGTTCACCGCATAATGGATGTTCCATTAATTATATGATTGTGGCAGTTCAGTTTGAAATGTGCTATTTTAATAAATTTCATTTGTATTTGATTTGTGGTACTGCATATTCTTTCTGCTTTCTCTTCCCTCTTATCCTGCAAAGAATACAAGTAACTGAGTAATATTTGCGTTACATGTAACTTTCTCTCTTGTTTGTGCTAATTATTGGTGGACTGCAAATGAAGCTAAGAAATGTGTGAGTATATTTGAAGTTTTGCGCCTTATTCATGGTCTTTGTATGTCTGGTATGAATATATGGATTTGTGGCTATTTTGCCCTGCCGTCAGTATCTCAGGCTGTATATCATTGAATGATAGGGCGGTTGGTGAATAGTGAAATGGAAAGGAGACTGTCATAGCCTAATTGTACTTCCATGGTATTTGCATGGAGGATCTGAGGTAAACTGTAAAAATCTATCATGTAGTGTTATGGCCAAGATTTGAACCAAGCACTTCCTGAATACACTCATTTTAAACAGCCCCATCCAATTCCATGGACAGTGAAGGAAGCGACAAAATAGTCTTAATATAGCTGTTAACTGCTTGAAGACTCGTTATATTCAGCACTTGCAGATAACTGTTTGCTGTGTTACAATGTACATATTATATACACACTCTTAAATCTGTAATTCAAATCCTGGCAGTCAAATTTCCTGTGAAAGGTGCTGCCAAATATTGTTTTTAAAAATAGACTGCAACTGCTGCCACAGTCCATCTGCAGATTAAGAATCTCATGTTGAAGTGAATGTAGATTTTTGTTAGATGAGAAATAGTGTGGATTTCTGGTAGCTGGAATTTATGCTAGTGGAAATAACAATAAAAAATAGACAACTAAATTATATACATAATTCCAGTTAAGACTGTGTACATTGAAGTATCTGAAAGAGAGTAGATATTGGAAGTTTTTTCTTTCTTTTTTTCAGAATTCCTTGTTTGAAATTAAATGTTTACTACGTTTGTATGAAATGCAAACACTTCCTTCCTGAGAGAAGTATGTGATGCTACAGAACCTATTAGCAGACAGTTACTCTAATACGAGTTGTGTGTAAAATATCTCTGCTTAGGGGTTATTAAAATATTTCCCCCCTCAAAATGGTCCCTTTGCAGAGCAATGAACCTGCCCCACTGTCTTTCCAACTTTCGGAAGAACTGTTCAGAGGATGTTGGCAGTATCACCCTCAAGTCATTCATCGCATTAGTGATGTCTTCCATTTCTGAAATCTTTCTTTAATGGTAATTTTGAGTTTAGGGAATGGAAAAAAGTTAGCAGGGATGAACGTCAGGTGATTAGGAGTGTTGTGGAAGAGTAGGAATTAAATGTTTTGCCAAGAATTGTCTAATTGGCAACGCTATGTAAGCATGCATGTTATCAAACACCTCATATGATCATGTTTCAAAAAAATTTGAAGAACATAAATCAAGCATAATTTTCCTTTTTTACCTTGGATTCCTCCTATAAATTGAGTAAAGCTATCCCTGTACCAGGCCATGAAGGCCCATAGGGTTGTGAGACATTGAGAGTGCCACATTATCTAGACAGTCAGCTCAATGCCACACATAATCTACTCCCCCTTCACTCTGCCATTCTCGATAGGCCTAAAAACAGTTTTTATTAAAGTGAGCTCTCTTCATTGAAATTGGCCTAAATCAGTTGATCGCATAGAATGAAATCACATTTTTTGAACTTGCATATAACAAGGACTGCCTGCATTATAATGGTTACACTTGGCAGTAACTCAATTAGGTTATGGGATTCACATGATCTTTACAGGTGTCGGGAATTTTTCTCTTGGAAGACACATTCAGAATGGCTCTGGGGTTAATACTGCCTCATCAAATAATGACATGGACTCTTTTCTTTTTAGTATAAAATAACTGAAGTTCATAGCTAACCACATTTTCTGCCCAGCGTCAAGATTTTGTGCCTTCATGGCATAAAATGTATGACAGGAATAATTTTACATATTATTTTAATGATGCTAATAAAAGTTTTCAAACTGGGTTGAAAGTCATAGCCTGTCAAGTTAATTTATGAGTTTATGACCCCCATTCTTTCCCATAGGTATTGGCAGGGTCAGAGCCATGGCACAAGAAATCGAGGCCACCATGCAAATCATACAAACCTCTTTGTTTTTTCTTTAATGAAATTTAATTTCTGTTGGTGTTCTGTTCATGTTGTGGCCATTGATAGATAGTAATGTAAACATGTTCTGCAAAAATATAAATAAAACTTTCAAGAATTATGACACCAATGACAGTTTTTGCCACAGTGTCTGGTAATTATGTTATTAGTTGTCACTTGCACAAGATTCTGTGATCGTTCCCATCCTTCTAGTTATGTGTCTTTGGTACAGACTTAAAGCACAAATAAGGTATGTCATCTTTTTGGTCAGTGTTATATTAATTATGTGTCCTTAAATATGATACCATATCTCTTAAAAAATATTGTTAGTCTGGAGATGTCCATAGTGATGGCAGAAAGGATTAAGGAACATTGTATGTCATAACAAAACATTGTGTTATTGCATCTCAAACATGAGTTTATTGAGATTGTAACCGTTAAAGTCGGGGAGGAGATTTAGCTACTTATGAAGAGGTAGGTAAAAGTTACATTATGCTGCCTATTGTCTAAAGAAAATGTGGAAGCCTTGATGTCTCACAACACTATGAGCATTCACGGCCTGCTACAGGGATAGCGTTACCTTTTTCTTGTACAAATGCAAGCTTGAAGCCACTAAAAATTGACAGTTTTTGTCATTATACTTTGCATAAAGGATTTTAGTTATTGCATACCATTAATGATGTCCATGAAGCTCCATGATTAAATTCTCCTCTTAGACGAAGGAGGGGTCGGTCTTTCTATCTAGGTGCTATGTTTGTTGCACCGTAGTTTCAGCACGAGTACATCTGCCCTGTCACAGCATCCAGGTCACTATGGTTTCTGTGCACGCTTTCTCACTGCACTATACTAAGTAACATTTATATGACATACAGAAGTTTTCTGTGAAAGGCTTGTGCAGCATGTTGTCTCTTAATTTACGTAACTGCTCTGAAACTGTAGTTAGTCAGCTGAACGGTCATAGGCCTGACGGCTGCCAAGTTTAAGCCTTTTAATCATATTTCATAATTTACATCCATAAACTGTTACACAAGTACAATTGGACAAGTCAGTTTAAGTCATCTAAAACACTACGAGTCAACAACTCTTAAAAATGTACAAAATGATACACAATATACAATAGTAGTCAGAATTGTTCAGGTTGTCTGTAAGAAGGTATTGACATATTTAGTGAATGACACTCCCCTCTCTCGCATTTACCTACGTTTTGTTTCCTTTGTGCTTTGTCAATATATGAAGAGACTTGTTGCTCATCACCGCTGTCCCATGGTCAATGTGTCGTAGGATGGTGGTGCAGTGATGGACTTGATGTGGGAGAGAGCGTTGGCAACAACATTGTCCTGTCCACAGATGTGTCGGATGTCAGTAGTGAAATGTGCTATGAAATCCAGGTGGTTGAATTGCCTTGGTGAGCTTTTGTCCTTTTTCTGTTGAAAGGTGTAGGTGATAGGTTTGTTATCTGTGAAGATGCTGAAGTGGCGTGCTTCCAGCATATGGTAGAAATGCTTTACGGCCTCGTAGATGGCTAGCAGCTCGCGGTCATATGCACTGTATTTTTGCTGGGCAGGGTTGAGTTTCTTTGAGAAGACTGCCAAATACCAATGATACCGAAGAAGGCAATGAGCAATTATATTTATAAGGCCTCCATCAAGGTCATTAGTTAGGTGCCACAAAACTGAGAAACTTCATGCACGACTCAAAACCTATAAAACAAGCTGCATTGGCAGAAAAGGCTCGTAATGTTACAGGAACCACTCCCTTGTACAGAGCTATAAGTCCTTCTTTCATCAAGACTTTGAAGACATCTCGCATCCCATTAGGAAATGTGCCTTCTGGAGCTGTCTGCAGTCTACACTTCAGAACATCTGCAGGCATTGCCACCAGCCAGTTAGCAATGCCAGCACTTCCTCCTGCAAAGATAGTGCTCAGGACTCCAATCTCACCACTTTCTGAATGCTGTGTAAGGATTCTCTGAACTAATTCATATGTCATGAAGTACATGCTGCTTGCTAGCTGGAACATCTCTCAGCAAGGTGGCAAAAGTTCCCTTATAAATGCTCCTAATGCCTCTATACATCAACTGGACCAGCATATTTGGGAGGAGCGGTACCACCTTGCTGAATCTGAAGCAAACACTTAATATGTTCTCCTGGGGTTATAATAGCAGTAGTAAAGATTCCTGAGAAGGCCACAGCAAGAAATAGCTGTGTCAGAGTCAGTTCATCGTCAGAAGACTTCATTTGCATTCGTTTTCCAACTCCAAACCTCTTGAAGCAAATTGCAAATATTGGTGCAACTCCTGCATTTGGCGTACCCATTCCTTTATACAATCCCAAAAATCCTTGTCTTTCGATTGTCTTCTTGGCACAGTCCCATGTCCCTGTATATGCTGGAGCTTCACCAGGAGCAGGTTTGGTCATAGTCTGCAGTCTCACCTTGATGGTATTTAAGGGATGCCCTGCAACAACTGTACATACTCCACCAAACCCACCAGATAAATATTTTACAGGATTTACAGACTTCTCAGACATGTTTATTCAGCCACTTGTGGAACTATTCTATAATATCTATTATAGCTGCACAGTACACACATACATACATTTCATTTCACAAGTGCAAACAAATGGACATGAAGGTCGTCATACAAAATTTAAACAAACACACAGATAACAAAATAATTAAAACTAATTATTTATGTTATGCTCCACATATTCAGAAACTGTATAAAAGGAATTATTCATAAGATATAAAAACAGCCTATTTTTAAACCTAATTCTATCCTCTTTAAGGCTTTGAATGGTTATGGGCAATCTGTTGAATAGTTTAATAGCAGTAAACATAGTACCTTTCTGAAAAGCAGAAAGATTCGAGTTTGGCAAATATAATTGCTTTCGATTTCTTGTATTCAAACCATGAACATCTAAACCTGAACA